AACTTTCCCAAAAGTTGTGTTGTTATTGCACGCAGTATATCGGAACGGGCCGGATCGGCCAACTACCTATATCGGATAGCTCCCATACGAGAGAATGAAATAAAAAATTCTCACACCGTTGTTTTTGATCAGATTGACTTGATTTCTTCAAGATGGCGTTTTCTAACTACTATTGAATTTCGGACTAAATTTGATAAAAATCAGATAACTCTATCATATAGCTGCCATAGGAGAGATCGAAAATTATATATAGAATTAATAAAAATAATTTGATAACATCGTTGTTTTTTATCCCACGAGCATAATTTTTTGAATATCAAGTTTTTTAACAACGTTTATATTGAGAAAAAAGTTTCATAAAAATCGGTCAACTATATCTTATAGCTGCCATAGAAAGGTCGAAAAATCTATATAGAAATAACGGAAATAAAATTATAACATCGTTGATTTTCATCATACAAGTATGATTTTTGGAATATAGAGTTTTTTTCTTACGACTCTTGAATTACGAATTAAATTTGATCAAAATCGGAAAACTATATCATATAGCTCACATATGATCTATAGTCGAAAATATGGAAAATGAATAGAAAAATCGTCTTAGCTTCGATGTTGTCTAGCTTTTATGCGTTTTGTTCGACATATTTCATGACTGCAAGGGTATATAAGCTTGCCGAAGCTAGCTTCCTTTCTTGTTTTCCATTATTTATATATAATGTTGAATCCTGTTATAACGACTCCGCCTATAGTGTCTGTCCGGGTTTTGTGACGAAAACTCGATGAAACTATATGAAAGAGCTAAGTACGTTTGTATACCCTTTTAGAGCAAAGGGTATTATAATTTCAGTCAGAAGTTTGCAACGCAGTGAAGGAGGTACCTCAGACCCCATAAAATATATATATTTTTGATCAGCAGGACGATCTGAATCGAAATACATACGTCTGTACGTCTGTCCATCTGCCCGTTTCTACCCAGACTAGCCTCTCAGTTTTAAAGCTATCTAACTGAAACTTTCCCAAACGGTGTGCAGTTATTGCCCGCAGTATATAAGTCGGAAGGGGCCGGATCGCGCAACTATATCGGATAGCTCCCATATGAGAGATTAAAAAAAATTCTCACGCCAACGGCGTTTTTGATCATATCGACTTGATTTCTTTCAGATGGCGTTTTCTAACTACTATCGATTTTCAAATTAAATTTTATCAAATTCGGATAACTATTTCGTATAGCTGCGTTACGAGAGATCGAAAAATATATATAGAATTAATGCAAATAACTTGATAACGTCGGTGTTTTTAAACTGTTTTATTTAGCTCACCCTAGGGTCAAAATTAGAAATTGAAATGTAAGTACCCTCCTGTTGTCAGATTGATCTGAAATTTGGTACACACCTTCAGTTCCGATGACAATACAATATAGTAATGTCAATAACATTGTAAATCCAAGATGTCGGCCGCAAAATGGCGGATAACGTAGGTTCTCTCAATCCCATCAATATGGGTATCAAATGAAAGGTCTCCACAAGTAGAATACAATGTACTATATAAAATTAAAATTCAAGATGGCGGTCTCTGCAAAATGGCGGATAACTTAGGTTTTATCAATCCCATCAACATGGCTATCATTGTCACTGTCAAACACATCAGATTAATTCAGATCAATCTGACAACAAACGGGGTAAGCTAAATAATAATAATAATTATGAAAGAAACTGCAACACAGCGTAAACGAAGGCTTCAAAAAGCGAAAGAAAATTATAAAGCAAAACGAGCTAAAGAAAGTGAAGTTGATAGAAATGGTCGATTACAGAAACGACGGGAACAAAAAGCATCAAAAACACAGAGCAGAGCTTATAATCTGCAGGCATTCGAGAAGGCTATTAACACAACATGTATATGTCGGAGGGTCGTTTGTCTTTTCCATTTTTAAACTGTTTTATTTAGGTCACCCTAGGGTCAAAATTAGAAATTGAAATTTAAGTACCTTCCTGTTGTCAGGTTGATCTGAAATTTGGTACACACCTTCAGTTCCGATGACAATACAAAATAGTAATGTCAATAACATTGTAAATCCAAGATGGCGGCCGCAAAATGGCGGATAACGTAGGTTCTATCAATCCCATCAATATGGGTATCAAATGAAAGGTCTCAACAAGTAGAGTACAATGTATTATATAAAATTAAAATTTAAGCTGGCGGCCTCTGCAAAATGGCGGATAACTTAGGTTTTATCAATTTCATCAACATGGGGATCATTGTCACTGTCAAACACATCAGATTAATTCAGATCAATCTGACAACAAACGGGGTAAGCTAAATCTTATATATAAAAATGAATCGTTGGTAAGCGCATAACTCAACAACGCCTGGAATGATTTTGATGAAATTTTTTGTGTGTATTCCAGGGCGTTTGAGGATGGTTTAGATCCACAATATGTTAAAATAATATTTGTTATTTTATAAAGCAAAACGAGCTAAAGAAAGTGAAGTTGATAGAAACAAAACTGGAGGTTTACCAGCAGAACTGGAAATATTTGTGGGGCTAAACTGCTACGGTCCAATTTTGACTTTTCGAAGGGATTAGTAAATGGCGCTATAGGCTACATCAACGAAATCGTTTGGCCTCAATTTCGTCGAACTCAGATGTATGCAACAGATGTACCTTCCGTCCGAATTGATTTCGAAAAAGACGGAGTACATCTTATACACCCGAAAGCCATACAGTTCCCAGCTAAGTACAATTACGGGACGGCTGAGAGAAGAATGTTGCCTTTAATACTATCATGGGCTTCTACAATACATAAAATGCAGCGCAGCACTGTGGATCACGCAGTCGTATACTTAGGTGCGAAACTGTTTGAAGAAGGTAAAGCTTACGTGGCTCTTAGTAGAGTAAGATCTTTGCAGGGACTACGTATAGAGGAGTTGGACTGCAACAAACTAACGGGCAAGAAACCAAGCAATAATGAATCACTAAATGAATTAAACAGAATGCGAATTAAAAACTAATAAAAACTTAATCAAATTTGTTAAAAAAACTTTTTAATTTAAAAGGTTTTATGTTAAACATACATTGCAATGTTTAAGATAAATGTACTAATTATTGGACCTCTGGGGGCGTCGACGGTTTAAATGACTATTACTCGTGGGAACAAAATGGTAAAAAAAATATAAATAAAAAAGCGAAATAAAAACTAAAAACTAGAAAATAAAAAAAAAAGGTAAAAAAAATTTTTAAGTTAAACCGTTTCATGTAAAACATGTACTAAATGTACTAAAAGCCTAAAAATAATATAAAATAGATACAGACGTGGGAAATTTAAACATATGCTTAGACTAGACTAAAATAAAACCGTGGGGCAAGTCTATTGTGTACAATCGTTGATTAAAATGTTTGTTTGCCCCACGGTTTTATTTTAGTCTAGCCTATGCATATGTTTATAATTCCCACGTCTGTATCTATTTTATATTATTTTTAGGCTTTTAGTACATTTAGTACATGTTTTACATGAAACGGTTTAACTTAAAAATTTTTTTTACCTTTTTTATTTATTAAATGAAGCATAATTTTTGAAAAATACAGTTTTCTAATGACTTAATCTGACGACTATACCATATAGCTGTCTTATGAACAGACGAGCAGACGTACAGACATATTTCGATTCAAATCGCGATGTTGATCAAGAATATATATACTTTATGGGGTCTGAGGGTCTTTCACTGCGTTGCAAGCTTGTAGCCTAAATTTGAATACCCTTTGCTCTGCAAGTGTATAAAAAAACAGTTAGAACTTTACAAATCTATAGTAACAAGATTTGTTCTTATCGTTTGTTTAGTGCCCATTATTTTATAGTTTCTTTTGCCATTATTGTCTTTATAAAAACACCTTTTTATTACCTTTTATCGCAAAAAAATAAAGTTAGCTTCGAACTAACTGCATGAAAGTTTAAGAATATAAAAACTTTGACGATTTTTCGTTTATTTTCTATAATTTTTTCGAATTTTCTTTTTACACATGTACATGAAGCCTTCCGATTTTGATAAAAACAAAACGCTTTTTCAAAAATCATATGATATGATGTTTTATTTCAAAAGCACTAATTTTTTTTAAATAACTAAAATCATGCCTGTAATTTGAGAAACTACGACGTAACGTATATGTAGATACATATTAGATATACAGATGTTATATTTTAGAACTTTCCTATGGGAGATATATAATAAAGTCGTAAAATTGGGGTAATTTCGACCTAAGTATGTAATTTTACCTGCAATAGCTACAAGACACTTTATGGGGTCGGAAGTTTTATTAAATATAATTAGATTAAGTATATTAAAGAAATTATGTTGGTCGAACCATAAAATAAACAAATTTATGTTAAAAGGTTATAAAGGTAACCTGTTATATTTTCAAAGTGGGTTTTAGTTCACTCAGGCCTTCAATTAAATAAAAGATATATGTTTTGTCTATCCTAAACAGTAAAATGATTATAATTTAAGACTCGTTGTAAGTTACAATTTAAGGTCAGTGATGATTGTTTAAATCCTCTCCCCAGCCTCGGCATCAGCTATCCGAATAATCGCGTAACTTTTAAAACTCATACCTACCCGACGTCTCATATATGGAAAGTATTCCAATTCAGGTTGTTTGAGCTTGCTTTATGGTCAAGTTCAGGGTCGAGCTGAATCCATAAGTAATTGATACAATCATACAAACGGTGAGCACGTTTTTTGCGGTTTGACAAGATAGTTCGAGAAAACTCTAAACCAAACAATAGCTTTTGATTGTGTCCGTTGCCTATTATTTGCTAGTCAAAATAAAAACAGATAAGAAGTAATAAGCTAAACAGATTTTGTTGTTTTTTTTTAGGCTTAGGTCCCGCAGTGGCACATTTTGGCAGTTCAAAACAAGTATTACATGGTTTAAGATCTAACCACTGAAACAACTAAATATAATTTCTCAAGAACAAATAATGGACTCTGAACTGGTAAGAACTTACTAGTAGGAACTCTATTCCGTTTTCCTTGATTTGGCTCGTTGAAAAAGCTGCCCAAAATGTCTAAAGGCAACATTGAACGACTTGCTTTGAGACTCTTGCGGCGCTGGATACGATGCAAGGCGGCGTGAGCGGCCCTTGACGCCACAGGGTCTCTTTCGGATTGTGCGCTCATGGCAATTCCAGAGGTCATAATTGATTGTCGCTGACTTCTGGTCTCATCGTCGTTGACACAAACTGCACTATATCGGCGCGCAAAAAGGTTACCGAAATCCTTCATATTTGCAGTTGGTCTATTTTTTTAGTTATTTATAAATGGATTCCGTGGTTAATTTTCGTAGCCGCGGCACTTAAAAACTTTTGTTGGCCTTTGCTGCTGCAGCGTAGGGTTAAATTAACTTTTTATCGAGGTGTCTTTATCTTAAAGCACATTGGCGTCCGTTTGCAAGCTTTGCTCGCTTGTGAATGAAAGCACGGACGATACTTTATTAAGAAGCTAACCTACGGCTTTAGTTAAGTGTTATCATATAGAGAGCAGACTCAGAAAGAGAAACGAATAAAAAATGCGAAAGAGCGCGCTCGTACCTAGATACTCACTCAGCTGATGCTTTGTTACCAGCCGGTCTTCTGATCTAGGCGAAATATAAAAATTGAAAATAAACCGAAGCAAAACCAGTTTAACTTATTGTTGAGATTCTGCTGTTTGGTACGACTTGGGAAAGTACTTATCAGCTGTCTTTTTCTGATGTCGCATTACTCATATGCAGCATATTTAGTACTAAATGCTTTTCCATTTTAATACTGTTACTATTACAATTTCAGTCTAGAGTTTGCATTACAGCAAAGGAGGCATTTCCGACCCTATAATGTGTATGTAGTCATGTTAAGTACATCAGCGACTTAATAAGCGCTTATCAGTCTTCCTGTTTGTATGTTTCTAAGCTAACTAATCTCTTAGTTATAAAACTATCTGCATTTAACTTCATCAAAAGTCAGATTATGTAAAAAGCAGAGCATAATGGTCACGAAAATTTAAGATGTGTTAGTGCAAAATTGTTTTTTTTTAATTTTACTAGTTTAAAGTTAACATAAAACAAGAAAGGAAGCTAGCTTCGGCTAGCCGGAGCTTATATACCCTTGCAGACATCAAAGATGTTGAACAAAATACATAAAGGCTAAACAACAACGAAGCTATGATGATTTTTCTATTAATTTTTGATAATTTCTACAATTGTTCATATGACAGCTATATGATATAGTCGTCCGATTTTTATGAAATTTTATTAATAAATCATGAGTCATTAGAAAACTCTGTATTCCAAAAATTTTCTGATAAAAACAAAGATGTTACAATTTTATTTCCGTTACTTCTACATAGATTTTTCGATCCTTCCTATGGGAGCTACATATATGATAACGATTTCGGATTTTAATGAAATTTTTTCTCGATTCAACGGTAATTAAAAACTCCATATTTGGAAAATCATGCTCGTGGGTTTAAAAACAACGATGTTATAATTTTTTTTCCATTATTTATATATTTATATTTTTCGATCTTTCATATGGCAGCTAAATGATAGAGTTATCCCATTTTGATAACATTTAATCCGAAATTCAATAGTAGTTATAAAACGCCATCTGGAAGAAATCAAGTCGATCTGATCAAAAACAACGGCGTCACAATTTTTTATTTCATTCTCTTGTATGGGAGCTATCCAATATAGTCGCCCTATCCGGCCCGTTCCGACATATATACTGTGTTCAAAAACTACACAACTTTTGGTAAAGTTTCAGCAAGATAGTTTTTTTTTATCTAACAAGTAGGATTTTAGGAATACACTACATTCAAACTGGACTTATATACTTCATAGCTGCCATAGGGATGATTATAAAATTTATTGAAAACTCGCAAAACTAAATTCGCTATTGGAAATTAACTTTGAATATTTCGTCAATAAATCGGCTATACCATAATACTTGCGCTTGCCTTTGTGGGAAATACTAATCTTAATTAATTTATAAAATCATAAATAATATATAAATCAAAAAACAAAGCAAGCCGAAGTTGATATACTTTTACAGTCATCAAACAAGTCGAACAAAATACATATAGGCTAAACAACATCTAAGCTATGACGATTTTCCTATTAATTATCTATACTTTCACCGATTGTTCTTCTGTCACCTCTTGATGATATAGTCATCCGATATTAATGAAACTTAATCCGAAATTCAAGATTCGTTAGAAAACTCTATATACCAAAAATCATGCTTGTCTGTGGTATAGTTTTGTTTCGTTTGATTTTATCTAGATTTTTCGAACTTTCCTATGGCAGCTATGTGGAATAAATATCCGATTTTGATGAAATTAAATTCGATATTCGATAGTAGTCGTAATCTAGAAGAAATCAAGTCGATATGATCAAAAACAACGGCATGATACTTTTTCCCGTTATTTTTTTATTTGGGACTCCAAAATGGATTTAGTTAATTTTAAAGCTTTTCAATCGCAATTTTTCTGTTATAAAGTTTTTATAATTCATTGAAAAATGTGTGATACTTTATGATTTTAAGGCTGTACTGGAGAACTGCACTTAATTTTTTTTGGGTTGGTTCCATTCTACGTAAATACGACTTTTTATACCCTTGCAGAGCAAAGGGTATTATAATTTCAGTCCAAAGTTTGCAACGCAGTGAAGGAGACACCTCAGACCCCATAGAGTATATATATTCTTGATCAGCATTACGATCAGAATCCAAATCAGTCTGTACGTCTATCCGTCTGTCTGTCTGTCCGTCTGTCCTCTTGTTGGTTTCTATGTAAACTAGTCTCTCAGTTTTAAAAAATTCTAACGCCGTTGTTTTTCATCAGATCGACTTGAATTCTTCCAGATGGCGTTTTCTAACTACTATTGAATTTCGGATTAAATTTTATCAAAATCGGATAGCTCTATCGTATAGCTGCCATTGGAGAGATCAAAAAATATATATAGAATTAATGGAAATAAATTGATAACACCGTTGTTTTTTATCCAATGAGCATGTTTTTTTTTGAATATCAAGTTTTTTAACAACCCTTAAATTGAGAAAAAGTTTCATAAAAATCAGACAACTATATCTTATAGCTGTCATAGAAAAGATCGAAAAATCTATATAGAAATAACGGAAGTAAAATTAGAACATCGTGGTTTTTCATCAGACAAGTATGATTTTTGAAATATAGAGTTTTCTTACGACTCTTGAATTACGAATTAAATTTGATCAAAATCGGACAACTATATGATATATAGCTCCTATATGATCTATAGTCGGAAATATGGAAAATGAATAGAAAAATCGTTATAGCTTCGATGTTGTTTAGCCTATATGCATTTTGTTTGACATATTTGATGAATGCAAGGGTATATAAGCTTCGGCTTGCCGAAGCTAGCTTCCTTTCTTGTTAAAATTGTTTTTTAAACAAATTTTTCTAATAGCCCATTTTATAAAAAAAAAAATTTTTGTTCAAAATCTTCATTTTTAAGAGGTGGTCAAATAATTTTTTTTTAGAATCTTAAATTTGAGCTGGTGGTCAAATGTGGGCATAAATTTGTTTTATCGAAAAATGCATTTTTAAGGTGTCAAACAACGTTGTTTTTATGAGATACCCACTTTTGACGTGTAAAAGAACGAATTTTGTCAAATATCTTCATTTTTATATTTTTGTAAATCCTGAAATGTGAAATTTTTGAAAAATTTAAAGGGTGGGCATTTCAAAGCATTCAATTCTCTAGTGCTTTCCGAAAAAATAAATTTTTTAACATTTTTTTAAAGACGTAATTTATAAAAAACTTTGGAGACCTATATCTTCCAAAGTATACATTTTTTCAAAATTCTAAAAGGTGGGCAATACTGGTCAAATGTGGTTCTAACAATTAGGAAAAAAAAATTTTGAAAATAAAACATTTTTTTTTTCGAAAATTTTAGAAAATTGGGCGGTGTTTAAAAAAATCTAAAAGGTAGGCAATGATGGTCAACAAATGGTCATTTCATTCCACTTTTCAAAATTGAAATTCGAAATTTTTTTTGGACCCAACTTCTTTAAGCTGGATCGGCCGACTATATTGGATAGCTCCCATAAGAGAGAATGAAATGAAAAATGCTCAGACAGCTGTTTTTGATCATATCGACTTGATTTCTTCGAGATGGCGTTTTCTAAATAGGGGAATGTTGTCAGGGTTGGGCCATATTTTGACCTATGTCCATAAGTTCTGAACGAATGACAATTCAGAATAAGTTTATACATTTTTGGAAAGGTACAAGCAAGAGAAAGTGTTCACCAAAAATAGAGAATAAAAAAACAAAAACAAAAAAAGTTATAGGCGTTTGAAAAAAAAAAAAAATGTAGTCAGCGTTGGGCCATGTAGTCAGGGTTGGGCCACCTTCAGAAAATCGTTGACAATATCGTAACGTGGTGGAATAAAATTCAATTCAGGTAAATCTGACATTATTTTGTTTATTTATTTAATTATTTGGGATTTTACAGTAAAATTATCAAATTATTCAGAGTTGTTTTTCGAGAAACACTAAAGAAAAAGATAAAAATGATTCATCTTCTTTCAATCCATCAAAATATTTTTTAAGGAAATCTATTTATTTTATTGTGCATATTTTTGCTACAAAAAACTTAAATATTACAACAAAAATCGAAAATACACGAATAAAATGTACAAATTATGATGGCTCAAGCCTGACTACAAAGGTGGCCCAACCCTGACGACATGCGGTATTAATCTATTATGGTATGATATAGCCAAACTATATCTATTAATGAAACTATATCTTAGTTTTTTGTAGTATAACACCTATATAACGTATTTTTATGCTCACTTTGCGGATGACATGTTGTAATCTTGTGTTATTCCACCTTTTCGGCCAGGTTAAAAAAACTTTTTCGAGCACTTTTTTTCAAAGAACAACGACACGTAGAAAAATGAAATCCCGAAATAAGTAGTCACGTGGAAAGTTTCGAGTGACCGATAGAAGTTTCTTGACACCCACAAACAGAAGGTACTAGAACGAATATTCGAAATATTGAGATGGCCCAACTCTGAAAATGGCCCAACCCTGACAACATTCCCCTACTATTGAATTTTATATATAATTTTATCAAAATCGGATCATATAGCTGCCAAAGGAGAGATCAAAAAATATATATATAAAAAATGGAAAAAAAAATAATGTCGTTGTTTTTAATCCCACGAGCATGATTTTTGGAACATCAAGTTTTTTAAATAAAAAATTTCATAAAAATCGGACTACTATATCATATAGCTGCCATAGGAAAGATGGAAAAAATTTTTATGAAATTTGTTTCTTTATTTAAGGGTAGTGAAAAAAACTCGATATTAAAAACCTTACAAAATGCCATTATTTAAATATATATACTTCTCGATCTTTCCTATGGCAGCTATATGATATAGTTATCAGATTT